CAAGCACCTGCATCCAAGCCTTACATCACAAAGTGCAATGCAAAGCGTCAGATGCAGTGGTGTAAAGCACGCCACCACTGGACTCTAGAACAGTGGAGACATATTCTCTGGAGTGACAAATCCTGATTCTCTGTCTGGCAATCTGATGGACGTGTCTGGGTTTGGTGGTTGCCAGGAGAACAGTACTCGCCCGACTGCATTGTGTCAAGTGTAAATTTTGGTGGAGGGGGGATTATGGTGTGGGATTGCTTTTCAGGGGTTGGGCATAGCCCCTTAGTTACAGTGAAGGGAACTTTTAAGGGGTCAGTATACCAAGACATTTTGGACAATTTCATGCTCCCAACTTTATGGGAACAGTTGGAACATGTTCCAACATGACTGCGCACCAGTGCACAAAACAAGGTCCATAAAGACATGGTTGAGCGCATTTGGGGTGGAGGAACTGGACTGGCCTGCACAGAGTCCTGACCTTACCCAATAGAACACCTTTAAGAGCTAGGCCTTCTCGTCCTACATCAGTGCCTGACCTCATAAATGCACTTCCGGAAGAATGGGCAAAATTCCCATAGACACACTCCTAAACCTTGTGAAAAACTTTCCCAGAAGAGTTGAAGCTGTCATAGCTGCAAAGGGTGGGCCACCTCAATATTGAACCCGACAGACTAAGACTGGGATGCCATTAAAGTTCATGTGCGTGTAAAGGCAGGCGTCCCAATACTTTTGGCAATATAGAGTATGTCCAGAAGGCTTAGAAGGGGTAATAAGGGGGCTTTGTGTTAAGCTAGTCCTCTATAAAAGGGTGATACATAACAGCCATAGTGATAGTGAATTGAAAGCTGCTGTAAAAAAAGCATGAAGAGAAAGCTGAAAAACTGCATAGAAAAAAAATAGGATCAGTTAGGAAATAGTACTTTAATTCACATCAGGCAGTCAACATCTTTTTTTCTTATTTTTGGGTCTCTTTTGTCTTTTTTTTTTTTTTTTTGTGTGATTTGAGGTCTGCAATTGCTTTTAGATTCTGTCTCATTCATAGCAAACATTTGTTTTTGTATTGCAAGGCTTCCATTTAGGGGTGGTATTTTAGGTTTTCATTTCTTTTTTTACTTGGGCCAACTCAATATTTAACCCTACGGACTAAGACTGTGATGCCATTAAATTTCAAGCATGTGTAAAGGCAGGAGTCCCTATACTTTTGGCAATATAGTGTTATTTGACATGGCAAGTCATGCGCCAAATTCATGAAAGCTGTGCAACAGTTTTCTGCTATTTCTGACATCTTTCACAAATTCAGGTAGTTCTCATGTGCAACAGTGTTACCCTCTGGCACTATGGCTGCGACATATTTATTAAGAGTGTAGGTAAATAAGACCTCTTCTAGGTTGGCGTAGTATTGTGTCACAGAAATAATCTTTTTTGAGACCAAATTCTGTTTGAGGTGATATTGCAACAGATTTGTATACACCTTAAGGACAGTTACATTAATTTGTCCCAAGTTTGCTGTATGGACAGGAGCATGATTTTTTTATGAGAGTCTCTGATACTCTCTGTGAATTCCAGGGTGCATCTTTTGAAATCAAATATTACTTTTTGTCTTTTGTAATGAAAAATTTTCTACCATGAATCATATTATACAGATAAATAGGGTGAGTCAGTCTTAAAGCATAAGTTCACCTTTTTTAGGGTGAGACTCCCTATGACAGAGGGTTGGGGATCTTATTGAAAAGAATGTGGCTATGAGGGGCTCCACCCACACAGCTGCATAATTCATTTTCAGAGTTCTATAAATGAATAGACTATGAGTATCAACAGTCTTTGCGGCTGAGAGCTTGTAGTTCTCAATGAACTGGTAAGCATCTTTGTAGTTCAATGATTCTTCTTGGACTGAAGTAACTACCTGCTTTTATCAGAGATAAGGGCAGACACCTACACTGACAGTCTGCAGGAGCCTGACATTGCAACCATGATCTGCTGATCACAGATGCAATGCTTTCCAGGCTCCTAAGAAAAGAAGTAGTAAGTGCAAATTTTTTATCTGCAAAAAAGTGATTTTGGTAAAGTTGCTTTTGCTGAAAATGAAAGATTTCTCTATGAAATTTCAGCTAAACAAAACCTGTCAATTTTGATCATTGAGCTACTTGTGTGAAATTTGCTTTGAAAAACAATGCTTTTTTCTTTATTTACAATGTGTGTTGATTGGCGTACTTAAGGTAGTTTAGTTTGTTTCATTTGCGGTTCTTTATATTTGTGTTTTTTCTTTTTTGTGTAGTTGATCTTTATTGTTGTATTAACTCTGTATATGTTTTCTTTTACTTTTTACTTTTTTTTCTTTTCTCTGTACAAAAAATGTAAAAAGAATGACACTAGCATGTCATGACCTGGAAACTTGTTTGAGCTCAGTTGTCAGGTGCGTTTGGTGAAATTACTTATAAAATTGCACACTTTAATGTAAACCCCACTGAAGTCAATGAGAGGTGAATTTGAAAAATCCATTCTATTAATTTTCAAGGCTAATACTGTAGGTTAGGGATTTCAAATGAAGGGCATGGTGAGCTGGGCATTGCCCTGGGGGACATGAACCATTGCAAGAAGAATTTAAAAAAAAAATGCTACTCAGTGGAGAGAGGCCCCTTCATGTAATGTGCTAATGTGCCTTTGAACATGACATGGGAATATGACATGCTACTGAGATTCCTTTAAGCTGTATACAGTATTACAGAAATGAAGATTCTCCAGGACAACTTCAGCCACATCATATTCTGCCATCATCTAATATGTATGTGTATTATTTTTTAACATTTTGCATAATTTTTTGGGCTTAAACTAAGCAACAGCACCCCTATCTAATTCATTTTAACAAAAAAAGTATTTTTTAGGCAATTACTGCAACACATTTGCAAGCTAGCAGTAATAGCCAGAACTGTGTGGTTGAAATAGTAGACAGAACAGGCTATTGGAAGATTTAAGCTTCAAAATAAAAGCCAAATCTGTCAACTATGTAATAATTGCCACATAGCAGAAAAACATGTTTACTACATTATCACACTGTATTGTCTACAAAGTTTAATAAAGTATCATAATGGAGAGAGCAAAAACACTTCAAAACCACAACTCCGCATTCCAGAAAGGAGGTAGTTATGAAGAAAAAACTTTCTGAATCATATTTCTGAGGCAATAGTCAGACATACAGTATTCCACAGTGGCTGGAGAGTATGTAATACCAGTGTGCAAAATATTCCTTCCTTTATATAGTGTGAAAAACACTCTATTGCATATATTTGGCTTCAACTAACTAGTGTATTTTTTAGTGAAAACATGGAAAGGAAGAAAATGTCCATGCTACATAGACAGCATTTCTGTTGTAGTAGGCCTCATTTTATGGCACTTGATAAAAAGCATGCAGTCAAATACAGTATATGCAATAGAGTGTTCTTACTCACACTCACACTAAATAAAGAAAGGAATATTTTGCACACTGGTATTATTTCTACCATTTCTGATGGGCCTTATTGTCAAAACCACATCCCAATTTGCATTGGAGTATCAAAATCAGCTTAAATTTTATTTGTTGTGAAGATAATAATAAAACTAATATGCTGCACACAGCACAAGTAATATTTCCAAAATGTTTTTGAGACCTCATTGGTTGAATCACCATCAACATGTCGTGATGGCCCAAAAAAATGGTATAATTTATATTTCTCTTATTCTAGTAGAAGTAAGATGTCACACACAGCATACGTTGTATTTCTACAAAGTCTTGTAAGCGACAATGGCTAAACTACAATTATGATTTTATTTTTCTGATTTTGATAGAAGTAAAAAGATAAGATATGTTAATAGATGGCAGGACTGAAGTGGTGGCAGAAAATGGCAATGGTGGCAGGCCAACAGTCATGTTAGGAGACAGTAATGCTGTGTGGTAATTATGGTTTTGTAGCTAGACTAAAAAAAAAATTAAATGTTAATATGTGTTGCATTGGTTTTGTACTCTTCGCTGATCCAAAACTGAGTCCTTTCGAAAGGTGAACTGGTTAACTGTGTTTGGGGAATGGCAGATTCTTTTTTTTTCTGTCATAAAACCACCTGCTGCAATAAACACCCGCTCTGAGGGCACACTGGCCATAGGACAGCTTATCATCTAGATTGCATACTTAGCAAGTAAGGACCACTGGTCCAACCTTGATGCTCAGTCATCCAGAAGAGCATCTGTTGTCAGGGTGACAGATGTCCTTGACCCAATGGAATCATTTATTATATGGGTCATGTGCTGCGTATGACTGCTGCCAAAAGCCAGGCATGGGTAATGCATTGTACAGAAAAATCTGAAGGCCTAACTTCGGCAGCAACAACTGCTACTCCTTTTAGGGACATCTGAGGTATGTTGGTCATGAAAGGGGATCCTGTCATTCTCTGGAAAAACCATTATGAGGTTCCACTGGAGCATTGTTTGCTGTGAATCCTGTGAAGACTGAGATTGAGCTCTACGGTCATATTCGCAGCAGTTGTTTTCTTATTCTGGGTCACAATCCTGCGCAATGTCCTTTTGTCTCTTTCAGTCAGTTGACAATGTCAACCAAGCTTATGCTTTTCAGATGACATTTTCCCAGAAATTGTATATGTCTTCAAAACCTTTAATAATGTATATTACAACACGGAAAATACATTGGGAACTTCAGTCACAGAGGCACCAACTAAGCGGGCACCAACAATTTGCCCTCTTTGAAGCTCAGTAAGTTCTGACATGACTCTGTATTACGAGCAGCACACATAGTGAATGAAAAAAAAAAAGAGGTTTCCCACCTGTTAGCTAGGGGTCTCATTACAGAGTGGACACAAAATAATGTTACATCACTTCCACTTTCAATGCAAAACACGTGGTCACTTTCACAGTTGCAAATCATGTAGTGTTTTAATTTTTTTGTCTAGCCCCTGTATATAGCACAAACTATCTTATTTCTATTTTATTGCAGGTCAGTGGCCAGACCTGAACCTGCAGCTCTCTCCCAACCAGGGGCGGACTGACCATTTGGAAATTCGGGCACTGCCCGAGGGCCCAGGGTCAGTAGGGGGCCACATGAGATGCCCCTGGTACCTTTTTCATAGACTTTTTTGAGTTTGGGCAAGGACACAGGGGCCCCATGATCCCCTATTGCCCGGGGGCCCCATGAGTTGTCAGTCTGCCCCTGCTCCCAACTTATGTCTACCCCATATTGGCACTATATCCACTGTAGCATTTGCAGTTAGCAAAGCAGGTTAGGGACTGGCCGTAGAGGGATTACTTTGATGCAATTGGCCAGCTTAAACGTGTATTGCAATATGTGTGAACTAAAAATCAGTTTTATCATTGCAAAGTTTGCTAGAAAGGTGTATATAGCAGTGTGCAGAGGGTACATCCACAATTTCTAGTGCATCCTGAATGAGGAGCCACTGATGTGGTGAAAAAATACGGATCCCCAGATCCTGTCCTTGTGCAATTTTCACATAAATACTCATTTATGGCCCACTGATGTGTATGCAGCTGCAGATGCATGGCAATGGCCAAGTTCCATTGGATGGACACATTGCATGTCAGGCAGTTATCTGGTAGATGGTGTTGCTAAAATATTTATGCCAGCTGAACACTGACTGGGTAGGACTGCCCGAAGTGAACATGTATTCTGGCCTGCTGCAGCACATCATGAAAGACAGGGTGCCTAACTAAAAATTGCTGCACCACCAGGTTGATGGTTTGCCAGCCAAAACAAGTACATGAACGTTAACTGCCAAAAGGAGAAGAGCAATATGTTGCTATTGCCACACATAACCTTTCCTGGCAGAAGATGGTGTGGGATCAGCCTGCCCCTGAAGAACTGAATCTCAGTCCCAGAGGGCTCCTGTCCACCAAGTACACAGGCTACAAAACAGTGTGACAGAGTTTTGCATGGGTCATTGGGTAAGCTCCAGGGGCGGACGCGGACTGACAACTCATTGGGGCCCCCGGGCAATAGACGATCATGGGGCCCCTGTGTCCTCGCCCACACTCAAACCACACCCAAAAATGCCTATGAAAGATACCAGGGGCATCTCATGGGGCCCCCTACTGACCCCGGGCCCTCGGCAGTGCCTGAGTTCCCAAATGGTCAGTCCGCCCCTGGTAGGCTCCCAGTTATTTGTGTGGGATTGATGACTCTGATTATTCACCAGATAAGATCAATGAGGAGGAGGCCAGAGGCCAGCAAATTGATCAAGTGACTCATTACATGAGATGTAATGTTACTGCCCATGCTTTCTGGACCATGTGTCTGTAGTGATGTGGACACTGCTACTGTAATCCAGCAACAAGCAGACATGCTGGTGGAAGGCAGGGATTGGCCTTCTGGGTGAATAAATGATAACTGGAGACCTGCTGTTTTGGTACAGTATAGATTGCAAATTTCTGGAATTAGCAGGTTTCACAAACTAGAAAGTGAGCAGCTATAAAGCTAATGATTTTGCCGAGCTGGCATTGAGATGTTGGGCATATGGGTGACTTGATACGTTTTTTCTTTATTTGAAGCATCTGGGGAAGAGACATCTGCCTTGTCAAGGATGTAGCTGGACAAGAATGGATGGAGTTTGTTGACTCTGAGCCTATGCTTAGCCCTAGTCCATCGTGATCCTCTTCTCTGCTTGATGTGCAATAAGCTGTGCTTTTCAAATCCCATTTCAAACTCCCATCCCCATTGCTCAAGGTTGCAGATGGTGCAACAAGTGCAGATGGTGATTCTTATGCACTGTGGAAGAGGTGGAGAAAGAGGGTCCAGAAGCTGGAGAGTTGTGGGCCTTTGTATACCTTCTGTGCTTTATGGTGAACAGCTATGTGTCATTTCATGCATGTGGTACCAAAAGGGTAGATTTACTACACTTTATATGTTGCAAACAGATGTTGCAAACCACTAAATTGCTGTTTGCAATACAAGCATGAATAAAAGGAATGCACTGCTGAGCCCTACAGAGTGAACCTAGAGATTCCAGTGGTCTGTACCCGTGTCCTCCATTGGAGCAGGCAATTACCTCCTCCACTTCTCTGAAAGCTGCCCCTACATGTCATCCTGCTTCATCAATGTTGTGTCTCTCCCTAAAAATCTTTCTCTACATTCTCAGGCACCCAGGTTGGTCTGCCACCTCATCATTTCCATCCACCTTATCATCGGAGACAACTTGACAGTAACTGCAACCACAGGACATCATGGGCAATATATTTTTTTTCCTTCTGTTGTTCCTCCCACTATGCTCCATGAACTCTCTTCTTCAACATCTGATACATGTATCTGCACCAAGTGACTATTTCTGTAGATATATCATTCAGCTAATGCCACGTTGCCAGTTTGGTTAGCTATAGTGGGATAAGATGTTGAATAGGGTGAAGAATAATGTGCTATTGTAACTGCTGATGACACTGCACTATTCTGCATGTGAGAGAAGGAGGATGATGATGATGAAAGCATTGTTATCTACCACACCACCTCTTTCACATGCTCTGGCTGTATAGCTTATCCGCTGCCAAAAAAGAAAGGAAGACATGCCTTCCCTTTCAAAGGTGTAGCCCAATCATGGCTATGCTCTAAGGATGCCCTACCTACTCATCCCTCAAATATTGTGTTCCCCAAACACCTACTCATCCCCTGCTAGCTGTACATGAGGAACCTCTGCCTCTACCTTTAGTCCTCCCAAGCATAATGACAATAGGGTAATGCCTAATTTTATTATCAGCTATGGCAAAATACAGTTGTGGCCAAAATTATTCAACCCCCACTGAAATTGAGTGTTTTGGCCAGTTTGACATTGCTTTTGATCATTCAGTCATCTTGCTTACATTTACATTAAAGAGGCACTTGTAGGTCAGACAAATATAACATAACAGTTATAATGAAATAACCACAAATGTCTTTTCTGTGCTCACAGCATTATCAGTTTTATTCAACCCCAAGTGACATTCAATCTTAGTACTTAGTACAGCATCCTTTTACAGTTATAACAGCTTTTAAACGTGAAGCATAGCTTGACACAAGTGTCTTGCAGCGATCTACGGGTATCTTCGCCCATTCTTCATGGGCAAAGGCCTCCAGTTCAGTCACATTCTTAGGCTTGCGCACTGCAACTGCTTTCTTTAAGTCCCACCAGAGGTTCTCAATCGGATTTAAGTCTGGTGACTGCGATGGCCACTCCAAAATGTTCCAGCCTTTCCTCTGCAACCATGCTCTAGTGGACTTGGAGGTATGCTTGGGATCATTGTCCTGTTGAAAGGTCCAACGTCTCCCAAGCCTCAGGTGTGTGACGGACTGCATCACGTTTCCATCCAATATCTCCTGGTACTGAAGAGAATTCATGGTACCTTGCACACGCTGAAGCTTCCCTGTACCTGCAGAAGCAAAACAGCCCCAAAGCATGATTGACCCTCCACCATGCTTCACAGTAGGCAAGGTGTTCTTTTCATCATAGGCCTTGTTCTTCCTCCTCCAAACATAGCGTTGATCCATGGGCCCCAAAACAGTTCTAATTTTGTTTCATCAGTCCACAGAACACTATCCCACAACTTTTTGTGGTTTGTCCACATGGCTTTTGGCATACTGCAGTCGACTCTTCTTATTCTTTGGAGACAGCAAGGGGGTACGCCTGGGAGTTCTGGCACGGAGGCCTTCATTACGCAGTGTGCGTCTTATTGTCTGGGCTGAAACTTCTGTACCCACATCTGACAAATCTTTTCTCAGTTCCTCAGCAGTCACACGGGGACTTCTCTCCACTCTACGCTTCAGGTAGCGCACAGCAGTCGAAGTCAGCATCTTCTTTCTGCCACGACCAGGTAGCGTTTCAACAGTGCCCTTTGCCTTGAATTTGCGAATGATGCTTCCTAAGGTGTCTCTTGGTATGTTTAACATCTTTGCAATCTTCTTATAGCCATTGCCCTTCCTGTGAAGAGAAATCACCTCTTCTCTTGTCTTCCTGGACCATTCTCTTGCCTTCACCATGTTTGTAACCACACCAGTAAATGTCTAGAAGGAGCTGAGTATCACAGTCATTTTAAAGCTGCCTAATTGGTGCTTATTATGCTTGATTGCTGCTGCTCGGTGACATCCACAGGTGTTTTCAATACCTGATGGAAAGCACCTGTATGAACACTCTGTTCTTCAGAGTGGTAGTCTTTAAGGGGTTGAATAATTGTGGCAATGAAGAAACCACATAAGAACCATTTACTACTGTATTACATAAACAATTGATGTCATTTTAGTTGCATTTGGGTAGTTACAACGTCCTTGTAGGATTTGATTCTGAATACAATTCCAAATGTACACTATAGTCCCTAAACCCTTTACAGCATTGGGGGTTGAATAATTTTGGCCACAACTGTAGGTTAGAAGATGGTGTTTTGGTGCAGTTAACACTGATGATTTTGTGCAGAAAACTGAACTTCACAGTGTGGGGTGATGTGCTGCTGACAAAGTGCTGGCCCTCAAAAACAATTAAAAGACAATTAAAAATAATATAAAAACAGAATTTACCTTCCTCTAAAAAAATTACCCTAAAACCCAAGCCCCAAATATCAACCCTTAAACGATCTAATCAAAACACTTTTTTTTCTTTTTCTTGCATAAAATGAGAATACACAAGGATATACTCCACTCTCTGAAGTTCACCAACTTAAAATTCACTTTAAAATACTGGTTTCACTATATAACACTGTATATTGCTATCACGTACCTAGTTAGGGGCCAAAGTGATGAAAGGACAAGAGGAAGTAGAGGGAGCTTATTCATTGCTCACCACAAACTGGTTGCTGTGTGCCTGGGAAGACGAGGAGGTGATTTTAAAGGTGACCTGTGCTGGGTCATCCACTCTACTACATCTTCAGTATGCTGCAGTTGTAACCAATCATGTAAGAAATGCCATGCATGTCTGGCTTCTTGAAAGCTGTAAAGCCTCATTATAGCTTGGTTGTGCTGGAGCCAATTGAGTAGGCAATCTTCCCCTGTTTGCTACCACCTCCCATGCCTCCTGCTGCTCCTCCTTCCTTTCAGTCTGCCTAAAAAAGATATGCTGTTCCTAAGTGTTGAATATGTTCGAAAAATAGAATTGCCCTCAAGAGTCTTACTTCAATTTTCTTTTATGGTACCACTAGTTTGTTGTAATGAGTTGGACATGAAGGATAGGATGAAGGACAAAAAGGATAGACCCACTTTAAAACTGGAAGGACTGCTTTATTTATTTATTTATTTATTTATTTATTTATTTTACTAATGGTAACACTAAATTGTTGTGACAAGTCAGACACAAAGAAATGAAAGATCCCTTTATAACTGGACAACTGTGTTACTACAATTGTACACACAATAAAGTGTCTATGTATAAAAAATTTGCTTTGTGAATGTCTCAGCATTCGCAAAAAATCATTAATAATAACCATAATATTTGTAATACAGTATGTATGAAATGTCACTTGCACATGTAACATTACTTATCAATCAATCCATACGACAAAAACAGTCTTAAGAACATTTGACTAAAAGAGTTAAAGTAGAACTCTAGGCAAAACTTTTTTTTTTTTTCATTTTTTTCTAATTTTTTTCGCCATCCCTATCCCATTGCAGAGATTTCCCTTCACTTCCTGTCCCATAGGCATAACAGGAAGTGAGAGGAAATTGTTGCAAATTAAGGAAATTCCATGGAGACCCCCAGGCCACCAGAACTAGTGTCCCCACTGGAAGATTTTCCCTCTATTATTTTCTGGGGACAACCCAAATTTGGGGATTTTCTTATACTTTCCCTTTCGATAATTGTATTCAGGACAAGTAGAGAGGGCGAATCTCCCTAACGGGGGAGCAGGCAGCAATAAAAAATGATAGGAGTTGTAATCTCTTTCCACTCCATACAAAACTAAAAAAAGGTTTGCCTTTGGTTATACTTTAAAAAAAATCTGACCCTGCCCACAGGCCCCCGAGGCAGACAGACAAGTTTGTGAGAAAAAGGCACTTTTCCTTATCAACACGGGGACAAGGTGGCCTGGTTTAGGAGAGATGGGATCAATCTAGTCCTCCCTTTTTCCTGGTCTGTCCGGCTTTATGGTCAGCTGAGGTCAGGTAGAGAATTTGGGGGAGGACCACACCAGTTTTGGGGCTTTTTTAAGGAGTCTCCCTTAAAATCTATACCAGATATGAAAGGTCTGGTATGAATTTTGGGAGGTACCCTACACCTTTTTTTGACATCC